TTCAGCAGTTCATACACATTCTGTCTCATGACTTTGACTGCAATCCCCACCATGTAACAGCTCTCTTCCCACTTCCTCCCTGTGGTTACCTCTGCCCTGTCTCCTTTGCTATGCACTCCTGCCTCCTGAGCTGTCTCCCTGTGCAAACACTGCCCTTCCGATCTCCCATGGTTGATTGTTGTAGGGAGTGCACCTACTCGGTGCAATTAATTGTTCACCTCATAGGCCTGCTGCTGTTTGCCTGAAAGTTAAAGCATGGGAGTGAGTTCAATTCCAGACCTGAAGGGGGACTGTTGTTGTTATTTGCCATCGAGTCAGCCTTGACTCCTAGCGACCCCTCCTTGGGTTTCCGAGGCAGTTATCACTATGGAAGTAGGATTGCCCAACCTTCCTTCCGAGGAGTGGCTGGTGGGTTTGAACCACCAGCCTCCTGGTTAGCAGTCAAGTGCCTTAGGCACCATGCTACCAGAATTGGGAGTTTTAATGTTTCTAGAGAAAAGATTGTTTCTGGAGAAAAGATTGAGGTTGTCAAAGAATTCACATTGCTTGGTTCTACAATTGAGGCCAATGGAAGCAGCAGTCAGGACATTAGACGACGTGTACCACTGGGCAGGTCGGCTGCGAAGGAACTCTTTCAAATGCTGAGGAGCAAGGATGTCTCCTCAAGGACTAAGGTATGCATGTGAGAGGTTGACAATGAATAAGAAAGACCGAAGAAGAGTTGATGCTTTGAGTTGTGGCGCTGGTGAAGAATGCTGAAGGTACCATGGACCGCTGAAAGAACTAACAGATCTGTCCTGGAGGAAGTGCAGCCAGAATGCTCCTTGGAAGCAAGAATGGCCAGACTTCGTCTCACCTACTTTGGTCACGTTGTCAGAAGGGACCATTCCCTGGAGAAGGATGTCATCTTGGTAGGGTGGAGGGTCAACAAAAGAGGGGAAGGCCTTTGACAAGATGGATTGACACAGTGGCTGCAACAATGGTCTCAAGTATAGCAAGGATCATGGAGCTGGTGCGGGATGGGGCAGTGTTTCATTCTGCTGTGCATGGGGTCGCTATGAGTCGGAGACGACTCAACGGCACCTAACAACAACAACAACGTTTCTAGCAGACCAGTAAAGGAGCTCTGGTGGCATAATGCCTAAAGCATCTGACTAGCCAGCCAGAAGGCTGGCGGTTCAACCCCACCAGCCATTCCTCAGAAGGAAGACTGGGCAATCTACTTCCATAAAGATTTACCACCTGGAAAACTTGATGGGGGTTGCTATGAGTCAGAACCAATTCAATGGCAGAGAGCTTGGGTTTTTGGTTTTGGAGACCAGTAAGCCTGGGCTGTCTCATTGTTCTGTTCCACGTTTTTCTCCCGTTCTCTCCAGGGTCTCCTATTTTGATCCCTTTCTGAGCAGTTGGCAGTGGGGCTCAGGATCCTTGAAAAAAAGGGAGAGACAACATTTGCCAAAGTAAAACCAACAGAAGAACAAAAGGTAAATGAAATTAAATTGTGTGATAAAGTAAAATAAATGGAATAAAAGATTTAGAATAAATATAACATTATAAACTAGATCTAATAAAATAAATAGAATAAAAACAGGATAAAAGTAAATAAACTACAAGAAATAAAACAGGAAATACGTAAATTAAATTAATATAAAACAGAATAAAAAAAGATAAACTAAATAAAATAAGATTAAACCAAGACAATAAAATACAACAAATACAATAAAATAGAATAAAATGAAATTTAGTAAATAAAATAGGATGAACAAAATAAATTACATTAAATAAATAAAATATAATAAATGAATGAAAAGAAACAGAAATGAAACAAAACAGAGTAAATTTTAATATAATTAAAATAGAAATGAATAAATGAAATAGAAATTTAATAAATAAAAACAGAACTGAATTTTTTTAGAAAACCTCTTGAGCTGAGGCTTCCTGCCGCTGTCCCTGGTCCCAAAAACTTGGAGAAACAGGTGCCGCCCGCGTGCAGGACGTCTGGGGACCCCAGATGCACGCTCTTCCTATTTTCACATGTTGGCACCATGCATGGAGTCCCTGGGTGGTTAACATGTTGAGCTGCTAACCAGAAGGTTGGCTGTTTGAATCCACCCAGGGCTTCTTCAAAGAGCAGCCTGGCGATCTACCTCCAAAAGCTCGGCCCCTGGCAGCCCTGGAAGTGCTCTGGTGGGGCAGTGGGTAAGGCACTGGCTGCTGATCCGAAGGTTGGTGGTTTGAACTCGGCAGCTGCCACACGCAAGGAAGATGAGGTGGTCTGCTTCCACAAAGATCGACAGCCTTGGACACCCAGCGGGGGTCATTATGCTTTGGAATCCACTTGATGGCAGTGAGTTTGCTGGTTTTTTTTAAAATCCTGTGGATACACGTGGGGTCGAGACTGACTGGACGGCAACGGTTTTCGTTTTCTTTCTGATGGTTACACAAGTCTGTGAATGTACTAAAGACTACTGAATTGCACGCTCAAGATGGGTGAGCTGTATGGCACGAGTTGTCTCTGGGAAATGCTGTTAATAGATGCGAGGCCGGGAGACAGCCTGACCACGCGCATAGCCTGCCCCAGCCCAGGACTGGCGGGGACTGCAGACCCCTGCGCCCACCTCCCAGCCCTACAGCCACTCCTCTGCCTGTTCTACCCCCACCCCTATTCCAGTCCCATCTGGCCTCTGGAGCCAGGCTCTGCAATGCATGTCCGAGCCGTCTTCTGGGCACATTTGAGTATCATGGGCCTCCCTACGTGGCCTGGAATGCATGATCCCCCTCCTACAGGACCCCATAACATTGGCTCCAGCCTGTCTGGGCTTTCCCCGTGGGTCCAGGCCACGCACATGGAGGCTAAGGCTCTGGGACCGCAGACCCAGGAACCACTCGGCCCAGGAGTGTGCGCACGGGGAAAGCCAACCCATTCTCATACAGGCTCCAAGCTCTTGTCCATTATTCTGAGGGCTTATTCCCAAGTGACACCGGTTTCCCGCATCCCATTTCCCTTGTCATGTTAAAAACTTTTGAGTGCAAAAAACAGTGGAAGAAAAAGTGAGACCTCCTTTGTCCCGCAGCGGGGGAGCATGGGAACAGGTGGCGTGAAGGTCAGTGCGTGGATCTTGCTGGGGCCAAACCAGGCTCCTCCTTCAGCCTGGGAAATGGGACTGGTAGCCGGTCCTTGGCATGACTTTGTGTAGGGTGTCAAGGCAACACCGGGTGAAGAGAAGCGGAATGACAGCGCCCAGGGACAAGGACCATGGGCCATGAGCCAGCTTGATTCTGGTTTACCACCAGGGGCCTTAGGCTCTGAGACTCTGGTGGGGTGGCCAGGCCAGACCAGGTAAACACATACTCGTGCACACACACACACACGCTTGTACAGGCTCACACTCATGCAGTGAGCTCCCTTGCACACAGAGACACACACTTACCCATGACAACCACAGTCTGCTTGCCTGGTATGACGCAGAAAGAATATTTACTCCCAGGATGTTTTCACGTAACAAAATAACCACAACGTAATGAGGGTGCAAAATATAGGGGGAAGGGCATGGCTTGCTGGTGTGCCCACAGGCACGTCCCCCACGCTGGGCTGTCTGGTGCAGGAGACACGGGGAAGTCACCCAGCACTGAGCCTCCACGCTGGGCCAGCCCTGGACACCCAGTGGCTGCCGGCACTGCCTTCCCCTCCGACCTCAGCCCAATGGCTGCACAAGCAGCCCCAGGGAAGGGTGGGCATGAGGACAGTCCCCGTGGCCAGGAGGGACAGGCAGTAGGAGCTGAGGGGCAGCACTGGGGGGGCCGACTGGCAGACAGCTCAAAGGGCTTGGCAGGAGCGTCAGGTGACCAGGAGAGGGTTCCCACCGTCCAGGGCGGCGCTTCCCGCCGCCCAAACTGAGCACTGGAAAGAAGTACACCTTGACCTGGATCAGACGCCGAGTTTCAATCCCTCCGTAAGGCACAGATTTGCCAATTCTTCTCTTCCAAAAAACGTTCTCCACAAAGGATCTTGGAAAACCAGCCCGAGAAATTGGCGGCCAGCTGCTTCCTGCTGTGAATCAGGATGTCCCGCAGGGCAGCCAGATGCCCGACACCCTCCACCCCCAGGCCTCCTTGTCCCTGTCTGTCCTCCTGTTGCACGCTGGCCCTGACTGCCGGCCTTTCTCCTCCACGAAGGGATTCCCTGTCACTGTAACTCAGGATCCAGGAGCTCCCTGGTTTAGGTGGGGAGGCTCTGAGTATCCCCTTGGCTGGCTGGAAGGGCACGTGGCAGCAGAAGGGCTGGAAGCACGCTGACCAGCAGCCTGGCACAGCAGGCAGGAGACAGGGCAGCAGGGATGCGGGGGGTGGGTCTGCGTCCTGCCAGGCCCTCGGGCCAGTCCACACTGGTGCTCTGACTGTGGGCAGCAGCAACCACGAGGGACAACAGGCCGTCACCCACGTCGTCTGCTACTCCCAGGGGCCTGGTGCTGCCTGCCAGTGCTCCACTGCTGAGGCTGAGTGAGGTCCGCTGGCCGAGGCTGGAGGGGTAGGTACAGGGCTGGGGGTCTCTCAGCTCTGAAAAGGGGAGTGGAGGCCAGCTTCCTGCTGCCTTCCCTGTGGGGGCCCTACAGGTCAGCCCCCAACAAGCCTGAGGGAAAGGGTCACAAGCAGCAGAGAGGACAGTGGGCGTTTCAGGGAATAAGAGGGGTCCCCTGCCCGGACAGTACAGGCAGGGGTCTCGAGGCAGTAGTGAGCAAAATCCACTCCTGGAAGTGAGATGAACATGGTGCAGCCCCCTCCACCCCCACATCCACTGGCCTGGAACCCCAGCCACCCCACCCCATCCTGTGATGGCATTGGCCACCCCTGCCAACCCCCTGGAGAAAGAGTGGCGCTGCCTCCTGGGGAACCGTGGGGACAGACGCTTAAGACCCCAAGGACCCATGTGGCAGCGTTGTCGGCAGTGTGGGGGAAGGAGAGGCAGCCGGCACAGGCAGGGGCAGGGTTGACCGGCTCCCTCAGGGCCACTGCCCGCCGCCACCCGGGTAGTTGGGCACGGTGGGGTACTCGGGCAGGCTGTTCCCCGAGAAGTTGTTGAACTGGGCCTCCCTTGAAGGTGGGTTCCGCCACGCGCCTGTGCTCCACTCCGTCTGTGCCTTCTGGAAGCTTCCACCAGTCCCCCGGTAGATCCTGTGCACCTGAAGGAAGATGGCGAGGAGGCAAAGAGGCCGTGAGGGTGAGAAGAGAGACCTGCGCTTCCTTCAAGTCACGCCCATCCTCCCCAAGAAGCGCGAAGGTGACATGTGGTCCCCACAGAAAGCAGAAATCGTCGGCAGCTGAGACCATGTCCTCAGGAGCCTCGCTGGAGCGTGAACGCTGTGCGCCCTTGCGTTTCACACAGGTGTGATGTGCACACACTCAGGGTCTGAGGGTCCCGGGGCTGCTGTGACAGAGCCCCACGCACTGGGGCTGAGGACACGGCCCCTCGATCCCACTCAGTTCTAGAGGCCGTGAGTCTGGGTTCGGGGCAGCGGCAGGGCCACACTCCCGCCAAGGCTCTAGGGGAGCCCGCGTCTTTCATCTCTTGCAGCTTCTATGGCCCTGAGCTTCACTGGGCTTATGGAATCACTGCGGTCTCTGCTTCCCTCCTCACACCGCCGTCTGCCTGTGGTGTCTGTCTGTCTGTCTGACTGACTTAAAAGGACACCAGCCGTTGGATCACGGCCCACCCTGCTCCAGCAGGACATGCTATTAATGAATGACACCTGTAAACAAGACCACATTCTGAGGTTCTGGGTGTAGGTGGCTTTGTGCGGGACACTAGGCCTGGCAAGGGGTCCTGGTGGCATGGTGGTTAAACACACGTCTGCGCATGGGAAGACTGGTGGTTTGAACCCACCAGCTACTTTTGGGTAGAAGATGTGGCAGGCAGTCAATTTCCATTAAGATGACAGCCTTGGAGACCCTGTGAGGCAGTTCCACTCTGTCCCCGAGGGGCGCTGGGACTCGGAATCCTCATAAGAAGGGGGAGATTTGCACAGAGGCCGAGGGCGGGGGGCCACATGAAGACGGACTGCGTGGGGCCGCTAGAAGCTGGGAGAGATCAGAACAGCCACGCAGGAAGGGCCAGCTCTGGTCAACACGTCCCCAGGGTTGCCTGCTCCTCAGCCCTGTCGGCCCCACTAGGTGGACACAGCTCATGGAGACCCCCACCGTGTACACATAGCCCCCCACCTATTGCACAAACACTTCTGCCAGAAGCCTCCAAACACCTGCAGCAGCAGATCCAGTGGGACAGTCTGCAATGATGGGAACAGCCTCGGCCTGTGCCGGCCCAAGCAGGGCACTGGCCCCAGGATCCTCGGTGCCCTCCAGGGACAGAGTGCTTCCTTTACTTTCATTTTTGTTGTTGTTGTTAGGTGCCGTCGAGTCGTTTCCGACTCATAGCGACCCCATGCACAGCAGAACGAAACACTG